TGTATAGTTCCAGTGTAGAGTGTTTTAGAAAAGAATTTCAACTACGACATGGTTATAGGGAAATTATAGTCTTATAATGGGTTTGTCTTTCAATGGTTTATCTTACAAAAAACAGTAAAGTTGCACTGTTTACTCAACGTGAGAAAGGAGAAGGTTATTATCCTTCCTACCAAAGAATGCCCAAGAACAATCCATAAGAGAACATTTTGATAACACTTTTAATATGAGATGTGGTGTTCTCTGTTGCAACTTTGGTCTCAAGACGGACAAAACCGTTTTTTCTTCCACGAGGAAGAAAATTTTTAAAATGTTAGACTCCACGAACGTTGAAGATGATAAAGGGGAAGAAGACGAAGATATGTTAGGATCACCATTAAAAGAGTGTCAGACATTCGTCAAGGAACATTCCAATGACGATATAGGTTTTCAAGAGATGTTTTTTGCAAATCAATAGATATCTCATCTATGAAGTTATAGAACGCATATTTGATGTTTCGAAGCGGATCGACGGTAACGTTGTTTTAATTGAAATATGTTTGGCTTTGATGTTTTATTGTAACCCTTTGGAAGAAGTGTATGTATAACGTTAGTTTTTCGACTATCAAATTTTGACAGTAGTTTATCTTGTATATCTTAACTCACATAAAAAGTAGGCACGTGTAAAACATTTTTCTTGTATCTTTATGTTTATGGTTTTATCTTATCATTCGATATTCCATTGAGTTTCTTCGTTCTTTCATTTTGTTTAATCCATTGTTGATGTATTATAAAGTCCGGCTTTTCTTTATTCTCAATGATGAATATGTTAGATTAATCATTTCTGACACATGTTTAAGACTCTCCTGCTATTTATTGAAAAGGAAGTGTGAAGTTAGTGTCTAATGACTCTCGATTTGTCATTTTTTTCAATCACCCGACAGAGTCGAATGTTTCTGTCTCAAATAACTCTTGTTTGCATCTCACTTTATAGTCTTACATCTCACGACACGGCAAATGCTGCAAATTATCGACATTGGAGAAAACTGTTTTTATAGTCTTTTGTGCTAAAATTCAAATTTTCAAAAGGAAAGTTTCTTATTTGTCTTGCATATAGCCTTTACTTGAGTTTTTGTCAAGCGTCTAGACTAACCTTCGATATATATTTTTTTAGTATAGATCTACATGCAAAAACTAAAAAAAACATCAACATAGAAAGAAGGTATGTCTTCCGACATCTTCTTTGTACGTAAAAAAAACTACAGATTTTTAAGAGATTTTGCAATGTGAGGTTTATGATTCACCAACTTCCCTGAAAAATTGCTTTGTTGAAATCTATTTTTTTCTCTGTTGAGGCTAGGATTATGATGTTTTTTTTTTTTGCGAATTCCATACAACATGGGCCAAAAATGTTATGGCGGTTATCGTGCTGATACATATTGTAGGGTTTTCATGAATCCTTGGTTTTCTTCCTTTTCTTTTGTTCCCACCCCTTCTTACTCTTCTCTTCTGTTTTTTTTTCTTCGTTATCTTCTTCTTCGTTTTTTTTTTTTTCTTTCACTTATCCTCATGGTGCATGGGGGCGCCCCGAAATCATGGTCAAGGAAGAGCGAGAACTTTGTTGGTGGTTTAGGCCCTTTAAGTATTACGTGGTCTGACGATAGGTATTTCCAACAGAGGGATGTCGTCCAGAGTGTTTGGTGCACAAGCGAGAGGCACATGAGACAGTTAAAGTATGTGTGAGAGTTGTTGGTTCGACTCGAAGGAAAGGAGAGAGAGAGGAGGGAACAAGAGTCTCAGAAGGATATGCGCAAGGACTTGGAGACTGAGCTGTATCGTACTAGGGAGATACAAATTCCAAAGGATTTGGAAGATGGGTTACAAAGGGAGAGGGAGAGAGCGCTTGGCCTCTCAACCTCCAACCTATTGAAAGAGATTTGACAGGTCATAAATATGGCGACGAGAGTTGAAAGAAACAATATGAGGCAGGCAAGGACAATAAGAGCTTTGTTGGGCGATCTGGGAGTCACGCGCGCGCACGCGCGCGCGCGAGAGAGAGAGAGAGAGAGAGAGAGAGAGAGAGAGAGAGAGAGAGAGAGAGAGAGAGAGAGAGAGAGAGAGAGANAGAGAGAGAGAGAGAGAGAGAGAGAGAGAGAGAGAGAGAGAGAGAGAGAGAGAGAGAGAGAGAGAGAGACAGAGAGAGAGACAGAGAGAGAGAGAAGAAGAAGAAGAAGAAGAATAAAAAGAAGAAGAGACGATGGCGGTTCACGTCGGGGTGTATACATGGCTACTCACATAAGAACAGAGACGCCCCCTTCTGCATCAACGTCGACTGCGCCCACAATTGTTGTTGGCGGTGTGGTTGGTGCAGGGGCGGGAGGTTAGGACTAAGGCGGCAGGTGGGGAACGAACGACCATGTTCACCACACCAACGATCAGGCCCCGAATCCAACCCACTGTCCGCAGGGATGGGCAACCATCGCTGACACCTACGGCCCTAATTCAGGGACTCGTGGCAAGAAGACCCTCTCCCTTTGAACGGGTACCTGTATGGCCCGGTGACATCCGATGATGAAGCAGGGGATGACAAAGGGGGCGATGATGATGATTAGCTTTCATTGCTAATCATCAATGACTAACAACAAGATGAAGTTGTGTTGTGCTTTATTCTCAAAATTTGTAATAGTGATAATAAGGGAAAGAAGTTGGCGGTTGACGATGACATTGCTCTTCTTCTTCTTCTTTCACTTCTTTTTCTTTTTTTTCTTCGTCTTCGTCTTCGTCTTCTTCTTCTCCTTTTTGTACGTCGTTGTCTACTGTTTTGTGTACTGCACAATGATTTGCTATTCTTCCTTCAATTCCCGTTCTCTTTTCCATTCTTTCTTTCTTTTCTTTTTTTCTTTTCTTTATTTGTTTGTCTTTTTTATTTCGCGTTATTACTTTCCTTGTATGTGGTGCTTCCATGTTCAGTGCCCAACTTGCTCCACCCTTAAAGGGATTGCTCTCCCTGGTGGTCGACCTTGTTTAGTCAATGGAAGTATGCTGGAAGATTTTCTTGGTTGTTCAGAGGTATTTATCGCCCTTCTGTGTTCGGTTGGCTGGCATGACAACTGAGAACGGGGGGGGAAAAAAACACAAAAAATGTACTACAATAATTTATGAAGACGACCAGAAGCCGTGTTTGGACAGCGCTACCACGTGGCACCCAGTGCGACGTGTGGCGGCGCTTGGTGCGACGTGCCTGCGCCTCCAGAACGGCAACGCCGCATATCTCCAATATTCTCTCTCTCTCTCTCTCTCTCTCTCTCTCTCTCTCTCTCTCTCTCTCTTTCTTGTACGTATTCTTCTAATCGTTCTTGCTCTCTCGCGTCCCTTTGAGGACTTCTTTTTCTTTTTCATTTACTTACTCTTCTTCTTCTTCTTCGCACAGTCACAGGTCCTGGACCGGACCCGGATCCAACTCCAGCTCCATGACACAGGTGCAGATTCAGACCCAGGCCCGGTCCCAGACCCTTATTCAGACCCAGGCCCGCACATATGCCCGGGCCCATTTCCTCACCCTGGGTTCGACACAACACCAGGCCCAGGCCCATTTCCTCACCCTGGGTTCGACACAACACCAGGCCCAAATCTGCGCCCAGGTGGAGGCTCAGCCCTAGCCCTGAATACCACCATTCATCCATCCAGCCAGCCAGCCCCAGCCCTGGATCCATCCATCCATCCGTCCACCCACCCTCCATCCCTCCACCCATCCAATCCTGGACTAAACCCCTGGTTGTGCAGGCAGGGTCTGTAATCCTCACCTTGCACCAACCCAAGGGATTAGTGTGTACAACTGCATTGGTCAACACCCACTGGTGTAGATGCGCGAGGTTGTAGGGTTTTGAATCCATTACCTCAAGCCACAATGCGCATTTCCAGCCCGCACTCTACACAATGAGCCAATCAGCTGTAGTCTAGTTTTGGTGCTTTCGAAGTTTTTTGTGAATTCCTCGCCCTCCAGCCTTGCGCCTTCCATCTTGTGCATACAAGGCTTCAGTGAAGTTCGGACTTAGCTCTGTATTTCAACAGTTCAGGGGTGTACCACCTGAGGTAGGCCAACAAAGAATAAAATATGCGGCCTGTATGAAGCCACAGCTTTGGGGGGTAGGCCTCCGAAGCCAAATGGCTGGCGGCACCAGCCACAAGGAGGGCGCCGTTTTGTTTTCATGGGCGTGGGCTTCCCACACCAGAGAAAAGTGCCTTGGATGTCCTGCTGGTTTAGTCCACGGTCTGGCTCCACCTGTCACGAACTCGGGGCTTTTGTCACAAAACCACCGCCGTCACTCCACCACTCGCTGCACTGGACCTCTCCTCACAGGGGTGCGTGCTACAAGGCAAGGCCTGGGCTAGGTTCCACTTACACGAATTAAGCGATATTGACCGTAGATAGCGAAGATCGACGGCGAGATTCTCGTAATCCGTGCAAGTGGGACCTTTCGCCGGGGACGGTGAGTTAGGGCCTCCGTGCACCTGCCAACATTCTGAATTTTGGCCAGTGAGTGGTGCGGAGAAGCCCTCGCACACTGCGGTTTGGTGGGCAGGTGAAGAGCGCTGACAGGCTGCAGCAGAACCGCACCACGGTTTCCGGCAAAGAAAAAAAAAAAAAAAAAAAAAAAAAACAAGAACCGCACCACAGCTCAGTCACCACCAAAAAAATACCAACTTCGTGGTGAGAAGTGCAGCAGCTCCAAACCAGAAATCGACTGTGGTAAAAAAGAAAAAAAGAAAAAAAAAAAACTCGACTGTGGTAAGTGGTGGAGGCAGTCCCGCTCTTCGGGCGTACTCGTACTAGAACTTTCCTGGATGCATCTGAATGGAATTACGTCCAGAGCTCAGTCGAAAAAGTCCTGGTGTGAACATGCTCTTAGCAAGTGCCTGAGATTTGGCCTTTTCATAGAAGAAAGAGCCTGAGATCTGGGCTTTTGATAGAAGAAAGATGAGCCGCAGAAGCCGAGTAGAACCTGCCACGTCAGCTATAGACCACCCGCAGACACGACTGTTTATCCCAATCTCTGCACTGAGCGGCTGACGTCCACCATAGCTAGCGATGGCGGCCTCTGCTTGGAGGATCATGGTGACGTTGATATTTGCTTTGCTGCCGTTGATGATCACTTGCTCAGTGTTGTGGTCATCATCATCATCATCAGGACAGCCTGCTCGCTTGCCACGTGGCATCTTGCACTTGTCTGTTCCGCCGTCGCCGCCGCCGCACGGGCCTGACGACAGCGAGTGCCGCGTGACGCAGCAGCAAAGGCGCCAGCTTGAAACTCAGACGCCGATGGGTGGAGTGACAATTCAGATACGTGACCCCAACGTTCTGACTGTTAAAGCTCAGTATGCGGTCGGGTTCGACCCCCCTGAGAACGTTCTGAGCGATGGCATCCAAGAGCTGGCCTTATCTCCCAAGGATAAGACCCTGTTCGTCCTAATAGATAACACAGTTTTGAGGATGAGCACGGACGACATGTCGGCCAATGCCACTTTATTTGCCGGATTGAACCGCACTTTCGGCTATTCGCTGGCGCTGGAAGATCGTGACCTGGAAGGCACAGGAACAACAGCAGGGGCGGGCGCTAGCAGCGACACGTGGCCGAAAAGAGTGCTGCACGTAGGGGAGGGTGCAGATATGCTTCATGCATTCTCAATCGATCGGACCGGTCAATCGATAATCACACGTCAGCTCTACTCCCTGAACTACAGCGGGCTAACTGGCGATCTTCGGGTCGAGAGCATGGCAATCGACGCCCGTCGGAGAATGCTGTACGCCTCGACAGGTCCGGCTTTATACCGAGCCAACTTGACTTCCACCCCAGGGGGTGGGGCGGGGGGGTACACCCCGCTGGAGCACTGGCTAGGCGTGAAAGGGTACAATTTTAGCACAGACGATTACGTAGATAGCGATGACCCACGTGAAGTCCGATTAGGCCATGCAACTTTGGACGCGTCCGCCATCTCCCCCGACGGGGAAACCATTTTCTTCGCTGATAGGATCAACGGCGTGATCCGACGGCTCCGGACGAGTACAGGCGCTGTGGATAGCCTTACGGGAGTCAAGACAGGGCAGATCGACGGGGCCGCCTTGGAGTCTTCCTTCTTGGTTCCGCGGCGCTTGGCTGTCTCTCAAGACGGCTGCCACGTGTTCGTCTTCGAAGGGTATGATGCTGGCAGGCTCCGACTAATCACCTTAAATAGCAGCTGGGGGGAGGCTGTGAGCGAGACCACCATCGCAGACCTGGACACAGTTCTTCCCAGCAGGGAGATGCCGCAGCACTTTCCTCTCGCCATCTCTCCGGAGAGCGACGTGCTGTACATAGCTTTTTCAGGACAGATCGTTGAGCTGGTGATTAACAGATCGGCTCTGCGGTCTTGTCTCGCGCCATCCAACGAGAAGAGTGCCTCCGCGATGTCTCAGCCGATGTCGGCCGTCCCCCCGCCCGTCTCCTCCTCGCCGACTACCGTGCGGATAATCGTCATGGCAAGCGCCGGGCTGCTGCTGCTACTTGTGGCCTTATCGGTGCTGTTTTTCGTCGTGCTCCCACGGCGAAGCCGACGATTCGAGCGCAGGCGGGGGGCCGTCCGCCTGAACTCTCCCGCACATGATCGCGAGGGTATACACGGGTCGGCGGAGGTGGGAAAAGCACCCAAGATCCTAGGAGGAGGAGGAGGAGGAGGCGGAGGAGGAAAAGAGGGAGGGGAAAGAGCAGGAGATCAAATCGGCGGAGTCGGCGGACTTCCAGAACGAGGACTCGGAGGAGGAGGAGGGTGAGAAGGACTGGGAGTGAGACTCCACAAACTCTCGCACGGTGGGCAAAGCGAAAGCTCGGGGCGATCGAAGTGATCGATCCTGAGGACGAAGACGACGAGCAAAAGTCGCTCAGAATGTCCACAGCCAGACCGACAGTCATCCGTAGGACGGACATGATACTGTAAGAGCTGCCATGCAAATTGAGAGGATCCGAGAGATTGCAGATCGACGGCTGGGAGCTCTTGGCCCCGTGGACTGGAGTAGCGTTTGCGGGACGATGGATCTTGCAGTGATGGAGTGCATTACGGCGACCGATTGCGGACGGCGACCGCAAAAATTGGGGCCGTCCGGAATCGACTGGGGATTTCTAAATCAACTAGAGCAGTCGATGTGCTCACGCGAGCTGGGTACAAGTTGAGCTCAGTCGATGTGCTGAGTCGAGCTGGGTACAGGTTGAGCTCACGTGAGGGGACTTCATGCTTGAGGACGAAGATTGTAATTAGTGTATTTAATTTATTGATTGATTGATTAGGGAAGAAACTGGCAAACGAAAGACCGCGGACACAATTCCATCATAGATTATCTAGACTGATGTACAATAGTTTTGAAATGCTAGAGAGATCTACCATCCAGATGAACTCTTCCTTTCTCCCACCAACGCGCCGCCTTTGATTCATTATCTCAGACTCTGTATCCGTATCTGGCCTAACAGTTGCACTCTATTCAGCTACAAATGATGACCAGCTGTCGCGTTTTCAGGGATAGATGGTGCGCTTTTGGATGCGAGTGTGTCGTGTAGCGGTGCAGCCGGTACTAAATATAGATGATGATGAGCAGTACGCCAGCCTGAGGGGAGACTCAGTGTGATTAGAAACCGTTACGGTGAGATGGCTATGCAGTGGGATGGTCGTGACTCGTGACGTCCAACACTCAACAGCAGTAGTAGTAGTATCACTGTCTGTATCACTGTCTTCCCCCCCAACGCAGTGCTTCCTTATTATGACTGTATCTGATTCATTACCATTCCCAACAGATAGCTTGTATACGTTCGTGATCAGGGTCATCATTCATTGAGTGAGTGGTGAACATGCATTCACATAGTCGCAGCACAATATCAGCTTAGTTAGCCCAATGGATGCATATATGTCACAAAAGATAGCTTGTATGCGTTCGTGATCAGGGTGTGTGCTGTGTCTGCGGAGAGACTGTGGCCTGTATATACTCTAACATCGCGAGATGTTGTACTGCGTGTGTAGCACGTTATTGGACGATGCACATCACTCGACTGCGTCAAAGGCCATTGGCATGCACACCCTCAAGGATTCCCAGACTCTGCTCAACTCAAGCACCGCCAGGGACGACTCGATCCTACGCATCATGGCTGAACTCACTCAGACTACCATTTCCTTTTTGTTTTTCTTTCTTTCCAAACTAACCGCTCCCGTCCTTTCGCGGGGAGCATCCGTTACATTCACAATCCAGAGCGACACCATTACAATTGAAAACTCCAAAGATCTCTCTCTCTCTCTCTCTCTCTCTCTCTCTCTCTCTCTCTCTCTCTCTCTCTCTCTCTCTCTCTCTCTCTCTCTCTCTCTCTCTCTCTCTCTCT